TTACTATAGCTCTAAATTAATACATAATTTTTTAATGATACACAAATACATTAGACTGTAGAATCTAATAATTCAGGGCAGAGAACCATCCAACTAGATTAAGACATCGATCCGACGGGAATTGGGTCGTGCTATTTTGAGCGAGGTAATTGAAACAGATCAGTCAACTAAAATAAATCATTATTTTTCATGATTACGACAACAGTGACAGCCTAGTTCTAAGAATACTGCGCTATGGGCTTTATGAAATATTGTCACTTAATATTTATTTTTATTGAATATCATGATTAAGTTTCAGACGTCGAAACCGCTAGACAGGTTTACTACCGCTACTTTCACAGTTTAATGTCATACAGCATTTTGCTTTTGGGTAACGCCGCCAATATTATTAGAATGTTTGTCCATCAGAAACGTGCTGTTAGGGCAATCTGGGCCCCACAGAGTGTCTTTGAGAGATAAGTTTAAAGAGATTAACATTATTACACTAGCATTACAGTACATTTACGAAAATGCATTTTTATGTATGTATTACGAAGAATAGTATTTTTTTTTATTAAAAATAGTGACAGATATAACATTAACACGAAGAATAAAAATAAACTAGCTATCTTGACAGTCGTCTTCACAAAGTCTCATATTCATTTAAGAGGCAAATACTCTTCTATAATAAGATTCCGGTTGATATTCAAAATTTGCCATTTACGAAGTTTAAAACTGTAGTGAAACAAAAACTTTATTCTAAGGTTTATTATACAGCTTCAGCGTACTCCGATGACAAAAATCCGTGATAGTGACCCATTTCGATCTATGATATTATTAAATAAGTATTATAAATGATTTAGATATATGCATATATTTAGTAAATTTACTTGCAAAGAATACACCCATTGTGTTTCATACTCATTCTTTTCTAATTCGTAATTTAGTATTTCTAATGCGTAGTAGAGTTAATTGAATGTGACGATTTGAACTGTAATTTGTTTATTTTTTTTATATTTGAGGTTATCACTAATTACATTTTTATAAATGAACTATGGCG